GACGGGCAATAACGCAGTGGCTGCTTAGGCAGCGCGCTCTGAGCTGACTTGTTTTCCGATGGGCCGCAAACATGTCATTGAGATCCTGTGAACTGCTGCTGCTCAGAGGGGGCAATTGGACCAATGGTGTGAAGTTACTTCCAGTGAAAACCCAGAAGTGACATCCATGCTCTCTGGGAATTGCCAGAAACTTTATGGTAAAATCAGTGTCCTAGGTTTTCCCAGAAGTGATGTCATGCTGTTGCTGACAGCTGTCCCATGCCCCTCCCCCAGTCTCTCACAGGGGGCCAGGCCACTGCCCCCTATATGGAAAGCCTGCACACTGCGTTCTGACGTCATCAACTTGAGGCATAACATTCCCTGAGCTCTGCAGTTTCCAGCTACTGTCACTAGTGTTTTAACTTGCAGTTTCTCCTGTACCCAACAAGATATTCTCTTGATTCTTTCACTGCAGTATTCCAGACACTTCACACTAGCTTACAGTGTGACTGAGTTAAGTTTCCCTTGCATATTTGAGTGCATGTTTCGTATAATTTACAAGCATATCAGAGGGGAAAGTGGTGGATGTCTATTGTATGATGGTATGGTGTTGTCAAATAACTTCTGGTTTTCAGTATTACTTTTTATTTACCATTGACACTCATGAGATAGAAATATGCACAAACTCATACTTAGGTAAGAAGTTTTCACATACAGTAAACAAAAGGGGGGGGGAATATTTCTACATGAGCCCTGATGGCCTCAGGTCGGTGGGAGAGTTTGCATTATGTATAATCTCAAAGCAGATCTGTGCAAGTCCATTTCAGCCTCCAGCCTTCCATTTTCTGGCCTGGTGGAATTATTATTCCCCCTCCCCCCAAAACCCCCCCACATATGATTTAAAAAAATGAAAGAAAAGGGCAATTTTCACCCTGCTGTTTGTAGCTCCGCATATGTTATTTAGCTCCACTCATAATTAGGAGTCAAAGTGAACATTTCTCCCAATGCCTGGCAAATGTCAGAAACACCACTTGGCATCAATCTTCCAGTGGAACTTCTTTTTGAGTAGATTAGAGGAAAATATAGACTCCTTCTCATCCCGATTTCAGCAGCAACTCCCCCCCCCCCCACCCTCCCCCTCGCATTTTTCTGTATTACTTTTTATTTACCATAGATACAGCATGAGATAGTAATATGCACAAACTCATACTTAGGTGAGACGTCTTCACATACAGTAAAATTCAATCATAATCTCCAGTTACCAAAAATAACACCTACACAGGATACTGTTGTACCATCACAAACGTTCAAGGGAACCAACAAATGAAATAGAAATTTAGTACAACAACAACAAAACCTTAATCTTCCTATGGAACGTCTTTTGAGTAAATTAATAACTTAGAGGAAAATATAGAAACTACACATTGTTGCCTTCAATGAATCTAAATCTCCCCAGTTGTCATTTCAACTCACGTTGTTGCAGTTCAGGGGCAAATATATGTGACAGGCACTTCTGTAAAGTTTTCAGTTTCCTCTGTTATGTTTGTGACAGTCTTTGACAACAACAACAATACAGTCCACAGTAAACAAAGACCAAGAAAAACCAATAAATAACAACTGTGCACTGACCAACCCACCCAAGAGCAATAGAAAAGAGACTTCAATACAATAAGAAATTCAAAGCATGTAATCTATCATTGGAAGCATTGCTGGCAACCGAAGGGGGAGGGTCATGGGCACATATGCACACACACATGTACGCACCACCCACACACACACACACAAATTTTAAAAAAAACCAAAAGGGGGGGAATATTTCTACATGAGCCCTGATGGCCTCGGGTCCGTGGGAGAGTTTGCATTATGTATAATCTCAAAGCAGATCTGTGCTAGTCCATTTCAGCCTCCAGCCTTCCATTTTCTGGCCTGGTGGAATTATCCCCCCCCCAAAAAAAACCCAA